GCCGCGCCTAAGGCCAAAGGGCGTCCCTTAGGGACCCTAGGACTTCGATCGTGCCAGCGAAGCCCAAGGTGTACCCTAGGCGTAACGTCCCGGGCCCCAATGTCCTCGAGCCCGAGGACTCGCTCGAGGAAGAGGCAGCCCAAGCAGCTGAAGGTGTCGAGGAAGATAGTTCCAGCTCGGATCTTCCCGACACGCGGGCGCCTCCAGCCGCGGTCAGAGTGAAGGAGGATGAGGAGCCCGCTAGTGGGGCCCAGGCCGAGAGCACGGAGGAAGGAGTCCTCGTGCTCGGCCAGTCTGTGGTCACCAGCGCGAAGGAATACCTCGCGCGGTCCGAAGCTCTCCTTAGAGCGCAGAAGCTCCAGTCGAGAATACTGGAGGTTGCGGGAACTGCGATGGTGAAGCTGGAGAAGATCACCAAGCGGGAGGAGTCCCTCAAAACGCTGCGCCGAGAGGGAGAGAGTCGGGCGGCCGGAGAAGGCGCCGACGGGGAAGAGGTGTCTGACGATGGTCAGGACGCCCCCGGGGCTGCAGGGCCGAGCAGTTCCGCCAGGCCTTCGGGAGGCGGGACCGCCCAGTCCGCCTCAGCCTCAGAGGAGCCTCGCCCCAACGCTGACGGCCACTACGGATGTTCGGCTCCGGGATGCGGGCTGGCTTTTGAGTCGCTGGTGCAGTACCACTTGCATCAGGCGGCCTGCCATGGCGCCTCTCTTCCGCCCAACCTGGGGATCAGCCCCTCCCTTTTCGTCAGGACTGGCGGGGACGGCTGTTCCGCCGAGGAAAGGACGGTGGGTATGGGGAGGTGCCCATGCTCCGAGTGATTAGGTACCACAAAGCCAACGGGTACGATCACTCGAGAGTCCCGCTCCTGAGGCGAGGGGACCGAATCCAGCTTGAGGATGGATCGCACCACATCTATGGTGGTAGCCATCCGCCGGGGTGGCTTCGCGACGACCCCGAGCTGGACCCCCCTGGTGCTCCAGAGGGAAGCGATGGAGGGTCCACGCCCAAGAGCGAGCCCACGGAGGAGGCCGTGCCCGAGCCTCCGCGGAAGGCCGCTCCGCGCGGGCGGGCCCTCGAGCCGCCGAAGGGGGACGTCCAGCGACGCCTGGCCGAGCGTCGCTCCAAGCGAGATTACTCGCCGGACCTGGTGACGCCTCTTGACGATCTCCATGCCAAGGAGATCGACTCCTTCTGCGCGGGCGACCCAGCCGCGGATAGCCTTGACGTCATTTTGATGCGTGCCGAGGTTCGCACTGAGTCCCACCTCAAGGTTGGCCGGGAGGAGGAAGAGCCCCTGGTCAAGGAGGAACAGGAGGAGGAGGCTGAGGTCGTCAAGGACGAGGAGGTCTCGGTTGAGATGGAGGCTGCCACCGCGGATGAGGCGGACGAGGTCGCCCTCCCAGCCAACCGAGCCTACGTCGAAGGCCGCTTTTACCCCTACGGCAGCTGGCGGTGCTTCTTCTGCGAAGCCATTAACCCGGTTACCGAGGACCAGTGCCTCACCACGCACGCGGGCGGCCCGAATGCGGGCGCCCCGTGCGATGGCCGATGGATCAATGGGATCGACATCGGGTGGTGGGAGGTGGATCCCCAAACCGCGCCGGAGCAATGGCGGCGGAGGTTTTCTGCCGAAGAGCTTGAAGACCAACAAGCGCGGGCAGATGCCGCGAGGCTCCTCAGCGATGAGGAACTCGCTGAAGCCCTCCAGGCGGCCGAAGAGGCGCAGGCGGCCGAGCGCGCCAAGAAGCGGGAGCGGCGCCAGGCGGAGAAGGCGGAGCGCGATGATCACATCAGCGAAGCGCTCCGCATAGCAGGGTGGCAGTGCCCTAACTGCTATGAATGGAACCTTTCATTCAGGCAGCTGTGCTTTAGGTGCAGCACACCCCTCCGCTTGGCAGAGGTCGTGTCCCGCGGGATCCCGGATCCGCGGCGCGGCGAACAGAGGGACTCGGGCTCCGAGAGCAGCCAAGATGAGCTGGAGTACGAGATCCTTCTGGCCAATCGCGCGATGGATCAGGAAACGATCCAGCCTCTTCTTAGAAGCAAACACAAGAAGAGGGGCGGCAAGACGAGGAGGCGACGCACGGCAAGGGCCGCGACCCGTGGGGTGCTTGGGCAGACGCCCGTGGCAAGGGCCAGGGCAAGCCGAAGGGCAGGGGCAAGTCCGATGCCAAGGGCAAGCCCAAGGGGAGGGGCGAGTACGCCTGGGGCGCTTTCGCCGCGGGCATCGTTGCCGCGCTCCAACCCCGCCCAAGCACCAGCTGGGCCCCAGCTTTCCCGTGCGGGTCGGCCCGGCCGCCGACGAGTGTTCCGCTTCCGCCGCGGACCCCCTTTTTCCTGGGTCGCGGGCTCCTCAATCGGTTGATGCACGCCCTCAACGGGAACATCAACGGCTGGTGGGGCCTGGCGGCTGCAGCGTCGGCGCCGATTGCCTTGCAGTTGCACCGCGGGGTCGTGCATGTTGTCGAGGACTCCATGCACGCGGTTGCAACGGTTTCGGCCGACGTTGTTGAGGAAATCGGCCATGGGGCCAGGCGGACCGTGTGGGTCGCCGGAACAGCCATCACTCTCGTGGTAGTGATCTTGTGCGGTGCTGTGCTGTGGTACGTGAGTCGTGCCGTTGCCAATCGCATTGCGCATTTGCGACATGGCAACACCGCGGCCCCTGAGGCGCGGCTGTCTCAGCTCCTTGGCTCCGAAGCGACGTTTGAGGTCGCGAGCACCAAGAAAGGGGTGACCCATAAGGTTTGGGTGCATCTCAAGGAGGAGACAGCTGCCTGTGGCTGTCGTGCTTACCTGGCAGAAGGACGCTGCGGGCATTGCGATGCCGCAATGGACACCGCTCGTTCCTTAGGGTTTTTGCACGCGGCCCAGCGAGGCGCGGGTCCTGCGCTCACAGACTCCATTCGGAGTACCGCCTCCGATGCCCTAGCTAAGGGTAGGGTGGTGTTGGGTTTGGGGAACAGTGAAGGGTGTTTCTCCCAACTCGCGGCCAAGAGCCGCGGGCTCTCCTGCTTTCAGGGGCTCGCGGGTCGTGACCTGGCCGCGGCCCCAGCAGATGGAGCGAGCGCAGCCCACGCACAGTCCGGCTCCGTGCAACGTGCCGCCACTGCCACCGTGGCGCGCACACCCAGCCGGAGGAACAAGGGCCCAGCCCCCGCTAGGAGTTCTCCAGTCAAAGAAGCGGAATTCCTTGCGGGCGGGCCATACATTCAGGCCGCCCAAACGCTGCTTGGGTCTGGAGCAGCAGAGGATGTGATCTACGTCCGGGCTTACAGCTTAGATTGCCCATCCTGCATCGAGGCAATCGAAGCGTCGCTTGGCAAAGGCGCAAGCGTTCGGATTGTCGCAGACATGGGACAATGCCACCGCACCAAGCTTCAGTGGCAAGCGTTGAAACGCTTGGCGGCCGCAGGTGCCGAGGTGAAGGTGGGTTGCGGCACATCCTTGCGCGACGCCTATGCTCGCGACGGCCGCGGGGCTAAGGTAGGCACCGGGATTCAAGGACTGCACCATGCCAAGGCCCTTTGCCTACTGCGGCCTGACGGCGCGGTGGTGCTGATTGGGAGCCTCAATTTTACCACAAGCAGCAAAGCCAATGCGGAGGCAGGGCTTAAGCTTGAGGTCCCCAAGACGCACCCTGTCGCGCAGTCCTACGTCGAGGATTTCCAGAGGGTGTCGGCTGAGGCATTCTCCCTCGATGAGGCGGTTGCGAAGCGCCCTCATCAGTTGGAGCGAGCCAGTAGCTCCAACGTTGCTGGCAACGCCACTCGTGCCCCCAACACTGCTCCACAGGGTATCGAGTAGGCTGCGGCCAGTTGGCGCGGCGTGGTATGCATCCACGCACTATCAGAGCAGGCGTTGCGGCACGGCACGTTGCTTCGCCAACCTTTTGCACTTTCTTTTGTGTGACTGCGGGCGAAAAGCCGCGGCAGGTTGGAAGCCTGCCCATTTTGCATTCCCCGCACTTTTCTTCTCCGCCCTGCCTGTGGCCCCTCTTGTCGAGGGCGCTCTTTTGCAGGTGCTGCGGACCGTGTCCTGGTCGCGGCAGTGCGCTCGCCGAAGCGCGTGCGAGTTGCACTGGCTGCGGCACAAGCAATGTGCGCGGCTCTCGCTGAGTCCGGTAGCCCGTAGGGTAGTTCTGGATAGGTGAGTAGCCGTAGCCGTAGCTTAGGGCCGGTAGTGTGTACAGTGTACCATTTGTACCATAGCTTTGCACTAGCAGCACAAAGACCTGCCCAGTACTCTGGAGCCTCGCCTGCCTGCACAAAGGTGAGCGCTCGCGACTTGGGGTGGTTTAAGGTCGTAGAGGGCTGCTGTCGTCGTGCGTCCGTTTGGTAGTGCGGGCTGCCGCCCAAGCCGCATGCCAATGCTCATGATGTGCGGGCTCTACCAGGGTCGCACGCGACACCCTCGCGCTACCCCATTGGCCGCGTTGCTGAAGTGCTTGACGCACTATGAGCTCTTGGTGAGCCGGAAGCCTCGGCTGAGGGGCGAATGTGAGCAGGTCAAAGCATGCATGGAGTGCTTGCTTAGTGCTAGTGCAGCGTGTTGTTTTCCCTTGCATGTGTAGTTTTGCAATTCGTAACAATGCCAATATTTTGGCTCAAGTACCGAGCTTGTGCCTTTGAGCACGGTAGTTTCGTACAGTAGCTCTTAGGTTGCTGTGCGGTCCGACCGGACGCACTCAGGCGTAGCTGCACAAGTGCTTGAACTCGCGAAGTCGTAAAACAGCGTGACCGGGCTGTGATTGCATTGGCTTAGTGCAAGTCCAGTGCTGGTCGACTTCACAGCATATGCATATTTATTTATTTTTTTATATTTATATATATATATATATACATACATACATATATACATATATACATATATATAATATACATACATATATACATATATGTGTACATGTACTATATGCAATCTTGTATACATGTGTATACATATATATGTATACATATGAATTTATCGTCTCAACGGTATAACTTCTCTCTGCAGGCATCCTGGGTCGGCTGGAGGAGGAGACCCTCAGAGGCCATAGCAGATCCCATGATGACCTCCACTTCGGCATCGTCTTGCGATGAAATACGTAAAGAAACACTCAATGCAAAGCGAGAAACCGGGACAAAATCCCGACTGAAATTCATTGGCTTGTCCAACAACTTTCACTTGACGGGCTGCCGTCAGCATTGAACTGAGAGCCGCCGACACGAAGCCCAGTGCGAAGAACGTCGTGCCTGCTCTGCGCAGGCTGAAGAGGTCTGAAGAGGATCTCTGAGGCCCTAGAGCTTTCCTAATTGACATCCGGATGTGTCACATGCTGTCCTGCTGTACCGAAGTATCCATAGATGGAGTCGGCCAGGTCGATGATGGAAAACCGACCTTGGCATTGCATGCCGAGTTCAGCCACTGAGGCTCGATGCTGGGCGGTCCGCGTAGCGCAGGCCCATGCAGCCGAAGTGCCAGCAGCACCAGCTTGTGCCTTGAAGACACTGGAAGCGACGATCAGGATCCTAAGCGACTGCACCGGGTTTACATGAGCTGCCCTTTCTTCAAAGGTTCACTTTAGGTTCACTTTCTCACCACATTTTGCACCTCTCGCCCTGGGTCTTCTGCGGCCTGAAATCTTCTTCTGATATGCTCATTAAATGCACCTTCCAGTTCACTGCTGCAACACTGTCAGAGCATAGAAGCTGTGCAGGCAAGTAGCAACACCGAAACGATCAAGGCTGACAACGTAGAGAACGCCTCGGATGTCCCATGCCTACAAACCGGTGGCCAAACCCACTGCGACCACTGCGCACAGCAACCCTGAAACATCGGAAGCCACAGGCACAATACCTCGCCGGCACTCCGCCAGCGTCTTCTGCCGGGCCATGGAACCACTGAGGAAGACATTGAATCCTATCGCCGTGGTGCCAACCAAGCCTCAATGCCGTAAACGCAACAATGAGAAAACAAGTCCGAAGCTACCGAGAAGTCAGCAGCGCACTTTAGCGACTTTAGCGCCCTCAAGATTCCATGACTTGCAGCTCCAGAATGCCCTAGCCCGAGTCATCTTCCCACATCTTCACCCAGATGCTGAGTGCTGTATCGCATGGAGCCGCAGCGTTGTGCAGAGGCGATCGTTGAGGAAGTGATGGCAAAGTGCCGAGGAGAAGGTCGCGCCTTGGTGCGGCAAAGTTGTGATGGGCCGTGCTATGAGTCCTGCGTTCTCCAACTGAGTTGAACTCGATCGGGAATAATTGCGATCAAGCACCACGAGCAGCCAACAGTGAGGGCCACCGCCAAGAAAAGTACGACCATGCCCTGCAGTAGTAACGCTCTTGCGCGGTCTGTCGGCAGACTACTCGTTCGAAGAACCGGAGCTGCTTATGTCGCGGGAGAGCGCATCCTAGCAAATTGAACTGCACCTTGTTGATTTGCACCGTGATACACAAGGAGCTGGGACCTGCCCTATCCTGGTCGTAGGGGTGCAAGAGCTGGGAATGAACATGCATCCCTTCACGATCCTCCGTCATCACATACTGTTTGTTTGCTGGTCCTACTTCAGATTCGAAGGGTGGAAGCAGACCGACATTCGTGGTCGTTCGTTGGTCTCTTGTTTCTTGGAATGGCTACCCTGTGGTTCTTCTTTTTAAAATCGCGGTCTGAACCTGTTCATGCTAGAAGTGCCTGCCCCTCCTCCTTGCTGAGGTGCAGGCCATCATCGAGATTCCAAGGCCGACTCCGATAGCATCAGCTTTGTCAAGGTACATGATGCCCAGAACCTCAGCATTCCGGCTGTTGAACTCTCTAGCCTGAACTCGGCAGCAGCTTAAGCAGTCAGACTTTCTCAAAAGGAAAAGATATATGAAAAGATGGAGGAGGAGAGGAGAAGGGGGCGAAGAATCGGAGGGAAGGCGAGACCGAACCCCAAGCCAACCCCAAGGCACTGCAGCGGCATAGGCAAAGCAGCCGCCGATCTGCAGCCATCTCCCAGGCACCCCTGCCGCACCTGCCAGAGAGACCGAGAGCTGAGACAGCTCCCAGGACTCTCTGCTCCATCTTCTTGTTGTGCATCATTTACCCCTGATTGGAGCACCCCGGTTTTGAGCTTTCCCCTGCGACTGGTTGAATTCACTTTGTGTTTATCTGAGTTTATCTCTCGCTTCTGCTATGACGCAGTCACAGCTTTCGTTGTCAGATGCCCGTGGGTGCATGACAGACTAGCAGCAAAAATATTCTTGTTATTCTAGTTTTTCGTCTTTGTCACTCTTTGTCTTCTTCTTCTGCGGGGCATGAAGCCTAATTACCCTCAGCGAGTGCCTGGCGCGCCCACAAACCCTGTTCGCGTGTCCCCGTTCGCAGGAAGAGAAGACAACAAACGCACGCCTGGCTTTGCACAATGGAGTGAGTTCAATGTGCTCGCAGTATGACATCCCCTTCCTTGACTACTGCATCACCTCCCACAGGGCAGAGATTGCTTAAACTGGGTCGGCTACTTGTCGGCTGGTATACTGGTATACTGGCATACTAGAGAACTGGTATACTGGTACACTGGTACACTGGTATACTGGTATATGTTTTCTGGTATACTGGTATACTAGTATACTGGTATACTGGCATACTAAACATGTGCCAGGTTGTTGGAAGTGGCATTCTGCCCCGCATCGGAGTCTAAGTCAATCCCTGGTCTCAACGCTAACCATTGCACCACATGCAAGCCTCAGGCGAATTCCCCCAAACTCCTTTGCTGGCTTGAAAGGGTTCGCTGTGCGTTTCTCGTATTTTCCGTATGCGGCATCGAATGCTCCCCTTGCCGTGCTCGCCGCCATTAGGGGTGTGCCTCGAGCTCCGCCAAGATGTGGGGTTGTTATCCTTTTCCAGGGCATCCTCCTGAGTCCTCAGTCCCTCTGCAGGTTGGCTGTGCAGACATTTGCGGTCTGTGTCGGGATGTTTCTGCTCCTTCGGGACATACAGCTGGCTGCTCTGCACAATTCATGCTTCTTTAGGGAGCTACTCCAACTCCCATTGAAGCACGTGTCTCTTCGCGCCCTGCAAGTGGGGGACGTTTGTACCATCTCTCTCGTGTGGTGGGCTCACACAATCCCAGAGCTGCTGACCTTGCCACCCCGCTGGTCTTCGAGGCTTGCCTCCTCCTCCTCCTCCTCCTCCTCCTCCTCCTCCTCCTCCTCCTCCTCCTCCTCCTCCTCCTCCTCCTCCTCCTCCTCCTTCTCCTCCTCCTTGATATCGCGCCTTGTGCACGGATCCCCCGGGCCGGGGAAAAGGTGGCGATCGGCATGGGCGTTGGCGTTGCCTTTGTCTCCTTCTCTGTGGTGTCTGGCGTTCTGCTCCATCTTGACTGCCACGTGTTTGACATGTTCACGTAGTGCTCTTTCTCTTGCTTGCTCCCTCTGTCGTGGGGAGTCTCTGTCTTTAGGCATTCATAACCTGGCCCTACTCGGGCCTGGAAACGAGTAGAGGGCATCAATGCCACCTGCAAAGTTGTTGCACTCGTACAGCAAGTTGCCGCAGTACCTTTAAAAAGGGCTACACATGCCACTCCTCTTTAAACGTGTATGTGGAGTGCCATCCCAACGACCGAGGTGCACGGCCACGGCCATTGCCCAGCACAGCTTCGGCACTGGACCTGAAGCTTGGACAGCACAAACCCGGCACATCACGCGAGTGAGATGCTCGGAACCCAATCGAACACTACTGCACTTGGGCACCTGTGATGCCGTGCTTGAGAAGCACTGCGCCATGCTTCTCCTGTGGGAGTAGGCAGGTTCTATGTCGAAGGGTGAACTCTGGCTTGGTACAAGTAAACGCTGGCTTTGGCAGGTTTCATGACCATGGCATCCTGCATGCACTGCCCCAACGTCTTGCCCGAGACGATCGTCAGCCTCGCGGCGCCCTCCTTCAATTATTGTTGCCCAATAGTCACAACGATTCACTTTGCGGTGCTTTGCCGTGCTTTGCGATGCTTTGCGATCCGTGAGAGGAGACTTAGAGTCCGCAAAACAGTCAAGACAGAAAGCCTCCTGAAGGTGAACTGTACTTCATAGCAAATTTCTCTCTGCGCAGCGCAACTGGCAATCCTGGAGCGTGAAGGCCAGAAAGGATGCAAAAAGCAAGGCCCAGACAAAGTGCAGCCTCATGCTCCATTCGCTTCAGTCTCCCGACACAGGTCTCAGTCTCAATCAGAGTCAATCAGATGCCGATTCTGCTGGGCTCAGCAACCTGTTGCTTTTGACAGGTGCGGTTAGGCATTAAGAAAAATATCAACTTGAGACCGATCTTGCGGTTGGGGGTCTAAGCTGCCGGACGTGGCTTTCGGAAGCGTTGAGCGTCAAAGAACACATATCCGGTTGCAAAAACATCAGAACTTGAGAACGATCCTCCCATCTGACCTTGACACAAGTGCGCATACCTGTCCACATTCTCAACATGTCATTTCCTTTCGTCCAGCGGCTGATATTCGGCCCCGGCCCGCGCGCAGGTGACCACCTCAGCACGTGAGCGAGGGTGGCTTGCGTGCATCCAGGCAGACAGCGAAGAGAAGCACATCATGTCGTTTTGGGACAGCGCGCTCCACGGATGTCCGAGCTGCCGTTCGGGGGACATGAAAACTTTAGCACAGCCGCCGTACCCGGCCCCACAGTGCAGGCCGCCAGCATTGCCCAATAGAGCAGCGACCTGCAGGAACTGAAGCACTGAACATGCAAAGAGAGAGAAAACTTGCAAAGCCCTTTCAAGCATCGTGGCTCCGCTTCCTTTTGTTCATGCTGTTTTCCTGCTGGCCCTGCTTTTCACTGGGTTCCTGAACGTGCACTTTGGAAAATGGGCGACTTGGCCAGAGACGCCTCCCTCAGACCACTAGACTTTCTAGACTCAGAGTGGAGCCCATCTGCATGCGTACAAGGAGGGTAAAGCAGGCACCGTATTCGTTAAGGCGAGTTGCGCAACATGTCGGCAAGCGCCCATGGCATCAAGCTGTGGCGATATTGAATAATCCTCTACTGTGACAACGGCCCTGGAAAATGAACTAATCTTCACACATGTTTGCACCAACCTTCTGTCACAACTGCGCCATTGAGCCCCAGCTGCCAGATGTTTTCAGTCACCGTCACAGTTGCTATCTTATCACAGTCAATCCAGACAATGAACCAGCTCCCAGAACCGGAACAGTCGGCTGCATCCTTCTAAGACAGCATTGAGCTGGGGTCTGGCCTCCAATAGAAAAGGTCCTTCGCAGCACATGGGTGGGATTCTGGGATTGGAGGTTGCAGGTGCTTGGCTTGGACGGTCGAAGATTGCGCCCAAGACCTTCAATCCAACTCGCTCCAAGTTATGTCTCATAGCCTGGAGCACCACATCCTTCCACTGCCATACACTACGGCTTTTAATCATTCTGCAATTCTACCCGTTCTGACCATGCTGATACAGAGAGAACGTCAAGGTGCAGCCTGCGACGCGGGGTGTCTTCACCGTCGCGCGGAGTGGTGATCAGCTCTCCAGTCACGGAGGGCTGCAGCAGGTGGGGAGTAGAGAAGGGCAAAGACAAGGGCCTTTGGGGAAAGGGAGGTTGTCAAACCCTGTCTACTCAATGCAAATAGAGCGAGGGCCCAGAAATGGCAGTACCGCACCTCCGGAAAAAAGCGGTCGGACCAGCTTGGCCTGGGCGGTTGCCATGGAATCGTATGAATCATGGTGCAGCAGCGCGTAACAGGCACCATGAACCCCGAAACACTGAAACACTCAGACCATTCCCCTGCCTCGTGGGAGCGCCATTCACGCAGTTCTGCGGAGGCCCGGATGGAGGTGAGGCTGGCAACGCCGAGGCTGGCGACGCCTTGGAGAGGAAAGGATCCCCAGCCTTCGGGATGCACTCTCGAACTGGAATCGGCAGCTGCTCGTACCGACCTTTCAGACTGCCGACGTCCCCCACCTCCAAAACTTCAAAGCGCTCCTTAAGCCACCTCTTCAGTCTTTAAGTCAAGCAGCGTCCTGCTGAGGGCTGGAGACGCGCGAAGCCGCGGATGGAGAGGCGCGAGAAGCGCATGAGCTGGAAGAGGGCGTAGACGGCCTGAGCGAGGACCACTCGCGAAAACAGGCGACATCAACACGGGTCATTGGGGTCCGGGCAGCGGCCGCTCAGGCAGCACCCGCCGCCTTCTTGGCAACATGCACAAGCCTCGCGCATTTCACATTTCGTTGAGAGAGCCGTGCAACTAACTGCCGAAGGTAATGCAAGCACCTGCAGCTTCAACACAGGATTGCGGAATGAAAGGTTCGGGTCGAGGTCACACAATACACAAGTGACTTATCATCAAGTCAAGGGTCAATGGAAAATTCTGTAGGTATGTTTGTCCTGTGAGGCTTCTGGGCAGCGTCGACCTTGGCTTCTCGGCTCCGGCTCCGAGGGCTTCTTCGGGGACGGCCTCAAAATTTGAAAAACAACTCTGCCTGTGACACGAGAGAGAGAGAGAGAGAGAGAGAGAGAGAGAGAGAGAGACAGAAGTGTTTGTGAGTAGCGTTTGCGAGACGTGCTAAGAGCAAGCTGTGACCGAATTTACACCCGAATTGCCAGAGAAAGACCCAAGGAATTCTTTGCAGACACCTCCGACTCCGAAAAAAAGCTGTGCCCGTCACTCCCAGTCGGACACATCAGACTGCGCGTCTGCCTGGATGCTCCCAGTCAGCACGAAGACTTGTGGGGCGTTTACAGATTCTACAGATGTCTGGGAGATTCATGTCATGCACAACGAGCTGAGAGATCGAGTGCCGAATGGCGCGGCGTCACCACATCAGCAAGCTTTACCGTGCAAACCGCTCCCCAGACATGCTCAAACCCCATGCTTGGTGATGCTGACGAAGGCAGCCCCAAGCACTTGTTCCGCACCGCGCAAAGCTACACGCTGTTCCAAGGCCCTCCATAGGCCATGCCAAGCTTCGCAACAGGCAAAATGGGGCCGACACTTCAGCCAGGTACCAACGACGCCGACACAACAGCTTTAATATTTGATGAGCGTGCCAGAGGGCAACCCACTTTGAACCCTGTACATCCCAACAGTCGGAAGAAAAAATACCTTAAGCCTTAAGATCTTAAGACTCAAAACACGTGGTTATGCAAGGCTGCTGAATTCCCAAGGCACCTCCGGACTGAAGCTGAGCTTCTTGAGCCTTTCAGGTCAGAGGCAGACAAAGATGGAGGCGAGCCTCTCATGCCTCTCTCTGCGTGGAATCTTGTCAGGGTCTTGCGGGTTCCAAAGCGTGGATAGCAAACACAAGCAAAAACAACATGTAGGAGCTTAGGAGGGGATCTAAACATGAGCATGCCACCGAATGCTCCACACTACACTCGCCTGTGCACTGCACGGGCCGAAGCCGTCTTGGGCGACACGCCCTGCAGCATTCCGCAAAACCCGCGGGCTGACTGAAAGTAAATGGAAGGGTGATGGTTCCAGCATGCTCTAGCGCATGCCAACTTGCAATGCAAGGCTACCTCCCGGGAATCAGCCACATGCCCTCTGCACACGTCTCTGCATATCTCTGCATAGCTCTGCACATGAGAACGCCTTCAGAGCTCGGCATGGCGAAGCAACATGGCGCACATCCTTCAACAGACTCACAAACAACAGACGATCAAGCAAGCGTGCTGCATGGCACGAGCCACGCAACAATCTACACTGATCATCATCGAACCTACATTCATGTGCTCTGAGAATCGAGCTCGGCAGGGCGAGGTTGGAGGAGTCATGAGCACGGACTGGGCGGCAGAACCGAGGTTCACAGATCTTTACAGAGCCAAACAGAGGACTTGACGGGTGGCCGCGAGTTCTGCAGCAGGGAAGGTTCTTGGATGGGGGCTGGGTGATGCAAAGGCCGGAGAATTACATTAGGATTTTTCGTTTTTTTTGGGAGTTTTTTTTGTTTTTTGCTTTAGGGTTTAGGGTTTAGGGTTTAGGGTTTAGGGTTTAGGGTTTAGGGTTTAGGGTTTAGGGTTTAGGGTTTAGGGTTTAGGTTTTAGGGTTTAGGGTTTAGGGTTTAGGGTTTGGGGTTTGGGGTTTGGGGTTTGGGGTTTGGGGTTTCGGGTTTCGGGTTTCGGGTTTCGGGTTTCGGGTTTCGGGTTTCGGGTTTAGGGTTTAGGGTTTAGGGTTTACCAGTAGCAAGGGCAAAAAACAAAAACAAATCCCAAAAAAACATAAAAATTCCTTTAAAAAAATAGACCTCCTGTAGAGTTTCCTGCGCATTCCTGGGCATCCCGGCATCCGCTTTGGTCACCCGCTCAGGCAGCGGCAGCGAGCGCTGCACGACACCTGAACTCGGGAGCTTCGCCGCTCTGGGGCTTGAGAGTCTCTCGCACGAGAGCCCAAACAGAGACTAAACAGAGCTCGGCACTGGCGGGGAGCCCGGACCTCGGGAAGGCTTCCAACATCTCGCCTCTTCGAACCGAACTTGGAATGCAGATGGCGGCAGCCTCCACAGGTCTCAGCCAAGTGGCCCTCGCGCTGCCTTCTCCACGACCCGTGCAGCAGCCTACTCAAGATTAGTCAAGCAGGAAGTGCAAACTCAACAAGCAACAAGGCTTGACCCTGAAACCCACATCCAGAATCCTGAGCCGTGACATCCGGCTCCAAAGACACCAGAGACTTGACAACAAAACACTATGCCTTTAAGCTGAGCTATAGAGTAGCACCACACTCAATCCATCTCTATATGCTCAAAGCACCACCAGGACTGGCACATGACGGTCCGACCTGACCCACGAGTGCCCCCCCCCCAAAAGAAAATACATAAAATAAACATGTGAGCAAGTTTCCTCACCAATTTCATGTGACAGCGCCTCCTGCCCACCCTCGCGAGCAGCCTCGATCTCCTGACAAGTCAAGCTGAACTTTGATAGGAGCAACAAGCAGCTCAGCCATCCAGACCTTGCATTCCGACCGTGGACTTGCTGCACTGGCGCAGATCGTGCATTCTCCGATCGACGAGGGCCAGGATTCATGAGGGGCGGGATTCCAATGTTCAGACGATGATTGGAAAAACCGGCCTCGCGAAGCCACATCGTGGAGATCTCGGCGCGCGCCCTCTCCACCACCTGCTGTCTTAGAGAAGGCGTTACCGAAGAGTCTCAATTTTGAGCCACATGTTCTCATGACACCTGAAGTCCGCATCACTAAGCCATGAAGAAGGAATTTGCCCAGTCGATGCCATTCAGAATCCTCTCGGGCATCCAGCTACATCTCGCGCTCTGTTTGGAAAGCCCTTCTGTACGGTGGCGAGCGAGCCCTTCTTATTTGCTCTGGTAAGGTAGCACTGAACTGGTGACAAAAGCCTGGCCATTCCTTTAAGCACATTGCACTCTCGTCAGCTCGACCCAAAAAGTATCCTTTCAGGCAGGGCGTGATGCATGCCCGAAGGCCTCAGTGAAGCCGTGGAAGAAAAGGAAAATATCCTGAGACAAAGCGCTTGCATGCAGCATCCAGCTACCATCAAGCCTCAAGCCCACGGACTTTTGCCAGTGTGTGAGCACGTGCGTGTGTTGATATGTGTCAGAAGCCGTCCTGCGAGCCATCTGACTCTTTCGAAGGTGGCGGGAAGACGGCATCCTCCAGCTGTGCCAGGCTTTGAAGACATGACGGACGTTACGCCGTTACGGCTTTACGCCGTTACG